AAGAGAGGTTTGTTATCATTGTGTTGATAATTTCTTATTATTTTTAATTTTACAGTTCCCAATAGAAGAGGTTAAGCACTCATCCACTGATATTGGTAAGTATATGAACTGACCTTTAAACAATCCGGCCCTCCATACATAAATTGTGGGCAATGGTCAAACACATGTTAATAATATTTTTCATTTATAGATATATGTGATCCATTATGGTATGAGAATACCTGTACACCATTACATGAAGCAGCTTGGAGAGGATTAAAAGATGAAGTACAATGGCTTCTTAACAAGTTTGATTACAGCACATATCATCGTGGTCTTCATGGTTGGACTCCATTACACTCTGCATCATATGGTGGACACATTGAGATCCTTCAACTACTCATCCATCAATACGGTATTGATCCTAATGAAGGTGATGATAATAGTGTATCTAGTATACATATGGCATCTTATAAAGGCCACTTATCTATAGTACAATATCTAGTAGACACGTGTGACGTTCCTCCTGATCAACCAGACAATAGCAATAACACTGCATTACTGTACTCAGCAATGGGGGGCCATTCTGACCTAGTGGAATTTTTTATTGAGAAAAATTGTAATACTTCTCAGATTAATTGTGAAGGTGCTTCTTTATCATTGCTAGCTTGTAAAAGCGGAGAGTTAGCATTAGTCCACAAGCTTGAATCATTAAACCTATTCTCATCAGATTCAGTTAGTAATTTAGGACGAGGTATACTACATTATACTTGTCTTTCTATTAACGATGAAAGTGTTGAGCTTTATAAATATCTTTTAAATCAATATCAATTATTCTTTAATGTAAAGGATCGATATGGTAAGACTCCACTTCATATTGCTTCATGGTATGGTTCATCATCAGTTGTCGAGTATATTGTTAGTATTCAAGGTAATGAAGCATTATTAGTGAATGATAATAATGGTATGTCATGTTTACATTATGCATGTTATGCAACTATACATATTCCAGCTGGTATCGTGTATAGTAAGCTTATGGCACAAAGTCATGCATCTGTTATTGGTATTATCAGTAATACTAGAATAAAACAAAATATTGATATTATCAAACGAAATGAAAGAGTTAAAATGTTTTTTTCACTTCTCAAGAAAGCTAGCACTTGCCCTAACTTTGACATCAATGCCACTACAAATGATGGTAAGTCATTACTTCATTTTGCATCACACAGTGGCAGTACATTACTAGTGAAAGCATTAGAAGAATATAATATCAATTGTACATTAACTAATGATGGTAAGTCTCCAGTACATTATGCTGCCTGGTCAGGTTCTACTAGTGTATTAAGTTATATCATATCTCAGTATAATCTAAATGCTAATGATACTGATACTTATGGTTGTACACCATTAGTCTACTCCTGCTGGTCAGGTAGTATTAATTCTGTTAAATATCTTATTAATAATCATAACAGTGATCCTAATATCACTAATAAATATGGTACGACATGTCTCCACCGTTCTTGTTGTCATGGTTATATTGACCTCACTCAATATCTCATTGAAGTACAGCATTGTGATATTAATAAAACAGATAATGAAGGATGCACGTTAGTACATCATGCTGCATGGAGTGGTAACTTTGATTTAGTTCAGTATCTTATTACTGAACAAGGTTTATCTCCTACTGCAGTTACTAAGAATGGCCTCACTGCTTTACATTATGCCTCATGGTCTTATAACTTATCTCTTGTTGAAGATTTAATAACTACTTATCAGTTAGATCCACATCAAGCTGACAGTAAGGGTAAGCTACCAATTCATTATGCTGCTGAATCTGGTGATATTTTACTACTGGAATTATACGCGAAGGATTACATGTGTAGTCTGAGCCTATTAGATAGCAAAGGTTGGAATGTTATTCATTTTTCATCACTAGAAGGTCACACTCACTTGATCAATCATATCACCAGTCAATATCCTCAATACATTAGTTTACTACACTCTACTGATAATGAGGGTAGGATACCATTGCATTATGCCTGTTATAGTGGTAATATTCAGTTAGTCACATTTCTAATCAATGATATAAAGTGTGATGTCAATGCTAAAAATACACGTGACAGTACATGTGTCACATTTGCCTGTATATCAGGTAATCTTGATCTAGTACAATTCCTAATACAACAGTATAAGCTTGAGCCTTTAGCTACTGACAAACATGGTAGAACAGCATTACATACAGCTGTAGGCAGTGGTCATACTCATATACTGGAATGGTACAGTCAGGAGTATAGTGTGGATATTACTAATCACACTGACAATAACAAGTACACACTAGCTCATGAAGCTGCTTATAATGGTAAGCTACATTGTCTGCAGGAACTGATCAACAAGTATGAGTGTGATGTAAATGCAACTACTACTGATACTGGTAGTACAGTTCTTCATTTTGCATGTCTAAAAGGCCATGTTCCTGTTGTACTTTATCTCACTAGTCTTCCTCAGTGTAATATAGCAGCTAAGACTTCTATTGGATTAATAGCTCTTCACTTTACCTGTCTGTACAGTGACTCTGTTCCTATACTCAAACATCTGGTAGAGAATCATCACTTAGATCTGTATGCTATGGATGACAATGGGATAGCTCCTATTCATTATGCATGTATGCAAGGAGGATTAAACTTGGTCCAGTACATTATAGAACACATGCCTAATGGTAAACATGGTCTATCTTCATTCTTTTTTGCAGTGTACTTCAATCAGTTAGAAGTAATTAAATATCTTATTAGTAAGAATTGTAATTTATCAGTTACTGATGATTTAGTGTCTTGTGCAGTTCACATATCAGTAGAGAGGGGTCACTTGAATGTATTGAAATATCTCATTGATAATAATTATTGTAATCCTAATGCATTTGTTCATCAAGACTGTACACTACTACATGTTGCTGTAGCAGTTAATGAATATGAAATATTGGAATATTTGCTGAGTAAGAGTATACCCTCAATGAGTGTTGTCTGGTTGCGTGATATAAAGTGTTTATTAGACAGTCCTCATAACATATACAATAGTCCACATAATGCTGTACTTATTAATGTACAAGATAAAGATGGTAATACACCATTACATGTAGCCTGTCAACGTGGACAACAGAATATGGTATCACTATTACTAAAAGCCAGTCTGTCTAACAATAACTTATTAATTACTAACAAGAAAGGACAGACACCATTACACTTAGCAGTTGCCGCCGGTAATAAGGATACTGCTGAAGCTCTACTGTCCTCAGTCACTGGTAGTTCTACTCATCATGACCTCTTTTCAGCTACTGATAATGAAGGAGCCACTGTATTACATACAGCTTGCAGTAATGGCCATATTGATGTGTTTCGTTATTTATCCAGTATTTATCCTCAAGGTGTTAATGTAATGGATAATAGAGGACGTGGTTTACTTCATGCAGCATGTGAGGGAGGAGATATTGGAATAGTAAGAACACTAATTGAAACACATGGACTAGATCCTTTAGCTGAAGATGAAGATGGCATCACCTGCTCACACTTACTAGCAGAGAGAAAGAGAGTTTATATATACCAGTATTTGGAACCAAACATTGTCTCTAATCCAGTACCTAAAGACAAGTCTGGTCGTACTCCTCTTCATTATGCTTCTCGTTCTAATAATATTCGAATGGTACGTTATCTCATAGAGACCTTCTCCTGTACTCCTGATGATCCTGATAATAATGGATACACTTCAGTTCATGGAGCATGTGAAGCTGGTAGCATGGAGTTAGTACATTACTTTCTAACTGATCTCAATTGTAATGCACTAGCTGAAACTGATGATTGTCAAACCATGCTTTATTTTGCTAGTAAGAGTTCTAATTTAGAGCTTGTTCGGTTCTTAATTAACATATTTAGATTAAAACCTCGTCCACACGATATTGAAATAGCTCAATCAGTTAATCCTGGTTCATCAGTAGTTAAATATCTTCAAAGAAGATATTTAACTACTAAAATTTTAAAGATATTTAATATATTTCGTAGAAAAGCAAAGTGAGTATCATGAGTAACTTAAAGGACAAGAGATTGAATCTTAATCACAACCTTATCACCATTTTACCAATACACCATCTTACTGCAGTACCATATGTAACCTATCACCATTACACCATCATACCTATCCTACCACCTTACCACCATCTAACTACCTTACACCACTTTAGTACCATCATCACCATTACAACATTCACCCACAATAGTTACCCAATATTACCAATCCTATACTATATCTATATCCTATCTTAGACACCATCTTACCATTACACCTATCACCACCTTATCACCATCCCACCACCTTACATACCATTGTATCACCATTGTACTATTACACCATACACCAATGGCTACCAATATTACCTCTACAATACTTCTGTAATTATCTTAATTTGGATCGCCATTACTCTTAACACCTTTATACTAAGTTTTGACATTAAACCACCATTGTCATCTTATCATCACCATGTACACCGAAAACATGCAATATATCCATTACCATTGTACCACCATTTTACCATCATAATTGTAGCCACCTCACCAGTTATCACCATTACAACATATACCCACACATACACCCCAATGGTTACAAATATCACCAATCTTTCTTCTTTAATATATTCTCCATTAACACATATCACTGGAGCTACTCTTTACTTTCTTTTGTCAGTCTTCCCTTTCTTCCTTGATTAATAAAGTTGTTTTATTATAGCATGTACACATGTACCTTCATTTTGTACTACACTTAATTTGTTATTATTATTAATAGTTATAGTTGTTGTTATTGTTTTATGACATACTTTTTTTTAAGAAACATAGCTTCAAGTTTTCTATTTGACATTTTAATTAATTTATAACATAATTTTTTATAAAATCAAAATTATTAAATAAATCAAATAGTTCTCCTGCCACAGTGGACTTGAATTGATTACATCTGTACATTGACTACATTCAAGAACTGCTAGAATTTGATGTGATTCTTGACTGATCATTGCAGCCCCTAAATCAGCAAGATGTGTAGTATCATTGTTTACCAACCTCAATGGTCTGAGCCAATGACTCTCTTTGGGATCAGGAAATAAAAATGTAATATAGCCCATAGTTTTTCCTAAGAAATGGCTCTGATATTTATTGATGTTTTAATGCTATGTAGAAAGTTTCAGCCAATTCAAGCCTCAAATTTTGCAGTTACGGCCACTTAAAAATGGACAATTTCTAAAAGCTTCACTGCCCTTTCTTTTTTCAAGAAATGGCTACAAATTTTTCCCAAATTTTAATACATTTTTTTATGCATAATGTCAATAATGCTGTATTTTATGCTTTGTAGAAAGTGTGAGCTACATGTGTAATTCTGGAGCTCAAATTTTTGATATACGGCCATTTCAAAAATGATTGGATTTCTGAAAATTATTTAAAATGCCTTATGCTGTGTAAAAGCTTGACAACTCAAATTTTTGAATTATGGCTATTGAAACTTACTACATAGCATGCACATGCACATCTTAACATAAATTTAAGAGCAGCTTTTAAAAGTTTTTGAAAATCAAATTTAAATTGGACGAGACCAACTAGGATTGCTGGGAAAATGGATACTCTAACTGCTTCTTAAAAAGGACTTGACTAGTATTAATTTCTCTTTTTGTCAGTACAATAGATATTCCTTCAGCATATTTATTCAATCCTGTCTCTCATAATTCATGCATGTGCTGTAAAATCATAAAAATGATAATAATAATAAAGAAAATTATTGTTTGTGTAAAATCAACAAAATGGCATGCAACTTAAGAAATAATTATAAATTTTGCAGGTAGGATTCAAAATGACCAACGAAAATACAAAATGAAAATCCTACAGTTGTGATGCAATTCTACTCTTGAAAAACTATTTGTCAAAGTCAGCCCAAACTTTCTACAGAGGAAAAGGGCATTAATATGTATCAGAAAATGTAATAAAAATTGGTGGTGATTTTGGAGCCATTTTAAAAAGCAAAGGCTATGGTTTTTCAAAAATGGCTAAAAAATTACCCTTAATTCATATTATAACTTTTGTTACACATTGATGTTTTCCTTAAATGCTGCCTCAATTAGAAACGAGAGCACTAAAGTGCATACCCTCGCCACAGTCTGTGTGTAACAATTTAAATAAATTAAGAAAAAAATAATTAGTGAAAGTTTTGACACAGAAAAGAAGCTTCAGCATGTAAAAACTTAGTGAATGTTTTGAGACAGTGATTTTTTTGTTTTTTAGACAGAGAAGAAGCTCCAGCATGCTTGCTGCGCTGCAGCAATGTAAAGGTGTGGCTGCAATGAAGGTGTGGCTCAATCAAGCCATGCTCCACCCGCACACACAGTAATGGTGGCACATGGCTCTAAGTGGTGAAGAAAGCTTTAGTTTTTCTCGACTTTTAAACAGTTTAGCGTACATTTGTTAGGCTCTATTTGTTGCATACAAACGTCTATTGAGCCCCTGATGTTTAAAGACTCTGGCCGCTACTTCGGGAGAAGAGAGCCTCGTGTAAACTCACAAAAGTATGCATGACTTTTTGGGCTACCATATCTTTAAAACGAAGATGATTAGAGCAATTCCTCTCATATTAATGAAAGATGAGGCTTTGCTTTATTGTTTTATCTGCCCAGTTGCTCTTTTGCTCACACTATGAAAAAGTTGTCGGGGAACCGACCTACATTTGGCGACTTTGCCAGCTTCTTCTTCCACGGAAAAGAAAAATATAGCATTCCCAAGACGGAGAATAACTTTTTCTAGAGCCAGTATTGATTATAAGACTCTCCAGGACTAGACAAGAAAGCAGTGTCAGCTCATAAGTGGAGGCCAAGCGAACACACACACACACACAGACAGGACGACTGCTTTACCCTCGCCCTTCCACGCCTACGCGTGGGCTCAGGTAATAATGGTCGTGTTATTTGCAAGTACATGGGTTTCCTTGATATTGCTGGAACATACCATAGAGCTCAGATTTGGTCCAATTTAATGGATGACCTATAAGTTGTGCTGGTAATGACTATGTGATTATTTTGATATACCTTAGGGTCGGTATTAATTGCGACACTTAATTTTAGCATTTTTAGCGAGTGTACCTTCTTGAGTTGTGTTATGCTATTGAGTGGGGGTTTTACCATTGATTTTTTTCCTATTTTCACTAACATTACATTTCGCTAAATCAGGGTCCCCTTGAAAACGCTAAAATTTAAGAGTGCAATTAATACCCACCCTAAGATAAATGATGCACATGTTGTCTGTTATCAACTAGGATACAGGAGAGCTAGTTTTGTCTATCCTCATTTTCACTATGGAAAAGGTGCTTTTCCAATATTGATGGATGATGTACAGTGTACTGGTGGAGAGGCAAAGATCACTCATTGTCCCAGTACTCCTATTGGTGAACACAACTGTCATCACAGTGAAGATGTTAGTGTTTGCTGCATTAATTGAATTGAACACTGTAAAATTAATAAGATCATTTCTAATTAGATTTTATAGTTGTTTGACTGATTGAATTTAATTTATTATGTATAGTTTATTTTGATGTTTAGTGATCAGTTATTATGACATACAGTAGATATCATAAATTGAGAATAGTACATACTATTGATGATAGTCAAAATTTGAAATTAAAACCAGATTAAGCAATAATGCAAGTAACTTTCAGTAAACTATAGATAGAGCTTTACTATGTGTACAAAAATAAACAATTCAAAGTTTGGCAAAAAACTTTTTCCAAAAATTTCTGAAAAGCTAATTGCAACATCAAACCTAGTAACAGAATTACCAGATGCTATATAAAGCATGTAACTTGAATGTGCCCTGATTACTATAATCAGAAAATAGGTGGTATCTGGCAGTATAACTGCATGCTTATGAACTAGACTGGTCCAGTACTATATGAACTAAATTGTAACTGCTTAGCCACATTTTGCCTGGAGTCATATACATAATAAAGTTACTATCTAGACACTTTGATAGTAATCATTTAAAACTTG